AGACGCTTCTTGGGCTGACGACCAGGCTACGCAGCGGTCGTCACAGGGTTACACCTTCAGCCTTGGTTCCGGCTCTGTTTCGTGGCGGGCTACTCGCTCGTCTTCTGTTCTCGGCTCCAGTTGTGAGGCTGAGATCTACGCAGGGGCCATGGCTGCTCAGGAGCTTCGCTGGCTCACCTACCTGCTGACCGACCTTGGAGAGCCGCCTCGTTCTCCTCCAGTCCTGTACGTCGACAACAAGGCCATGCTGGCCTTGTGTCGGGAGCACAGACTGGAGCACAGAACAAAGCACATTGCTCTCCGCTACTTCCTTGCTCGTGAGCTACAGCAGCGTGGTCAGTTGCGGCTTGCGTACGTGGCCTCTGAGGCCAACACTGCTGATGTCTTCACCAAGGCACTTCCGCCTTGTGATCATCAGCGCTGCTGTACCCAGCTGGGTCTTGTGTCTGTCTTGCCTCACTTGCTCTCCTCTTGACTCTCTTTGTACTGTTACATATATATGTTTCAGTGCTCTTGCTTGTTTAGTCTTATATATAAATATATGTACTCCTGCATGTGAACTGGCATTTTGGCCTTGCACTTGTGCTCGGACTGTGTGGTGACGTTGTGATCCACCCTGAGCTTGCTTTGCTTTGCTTTGCTTTACTTGACTGGTCTTGTGACCCCTAGTTCTCCCCCACTTCGCCTATGGGGGTTTGTCAAACATTATATATGTTGTTGTAGTTGTTTAGGCTACAGTGGGTTAGCCTATAGGGGGTACACATTCCTAGTTTTTCATACTTGTACTCATTTCACTGTTAGTTCATTCATTCTTGTTCAACAGTCAAGAAAACCCGGTGGGCCCTTAGTGATGTATACTAGTGGCCGGGATTGGGCATTGAGGTCCAGCATTTTGTAACTCGCTGTGACCCGTGTGCGCGGCACAAGCCAAGCAGACAGAAGCCTGGTGGTTTGCTTCAACCACTCGAGATTCCCGATGAACCTTGGGAGAGCGTATCGATGGATTTTATCACCGATCTCCCCAAGACGCGAGATGGTCATACAGCGATACTAGTGTTTGTAGATCGCTTGTCCAAAATGGTGCACTTCGTGCCCACGACGACTGACATGCCCGCAGAGGATACTGCGAAGTTGTTCGTGACGCACGTTTTCCGCTTACACGGTTTGCCTCGTGTGATGGTGTCTGACTGAGACCCGCGCTTCACAAGCCGGTTCTGGCAAGAGGTCATTAAGACACTCGGAACGAAACTTAAGATGTCGTCTGCGTTCCACCCTCAAACGGATGGACAGACAAAGCGGCCCAACCGCACTCTTGAGCAAATGCTTCGTTCTTTCATAAGCCCAACTCAGGACGATTGGGATGAATTGTTGCCAGTCGTGGAATTCGCTGTAAACAATTCTGTGCATGAAAGCACCCATGAGAAACCCTTTGTCCTGAACTGTGGTCGGCACCCCACAACCCCCGCGACGCATGGGATTAAGAACCTCAAAATCCCTGCCGCAAAGGACTTTATTGGAAATCAGCAAGCGGCATTGAAGTCCGCTCGCCATTGGCTGCAGCTTGCCCAACAGAGGCAAAAGTCCTATGCCGACATGAAACGCCAGGAAGTCGTTTTTGCAGTTGGCGACAAAGTATTACTAAGTACGAATAACATTCGTCTCAAGATCCCGGGAGCACGAACCCTCGTTGGATTGGGCCCTTCAAGGTGATCGCGCGTGTTGGTGAGGTCGCATATAGGCTCAAATTGCCTGCGACATTGCAGATTCACAACGTCTTCCACGTGTCTCTGTTGAATAAGTACGTTGCAGAAGGCAAGTACTTACTGCCACCAACCATCGCTCTCGAGGAGGAACTCTTTTACGAAGTCGAGCGTGTGCTAACGCACCGTGATCGACAACGCGGCCGCAAAACTGTTCGTGAGTTCCTAATTCAGTGGAAAGGCTATGGGCCGGAACACAACTCTTGGGAGCCTGAGGAACACTTGACTGAAGCAGCGGTTCAAGCGTACCGTATCCCCCCGGATATACCCCCATGGGGGGCAATAATAAAACAGGTTTTTTCATGGGGGTGGGCTTATAATCGAGTAAATTTATAAGCGCCGGCGTTTATAAAATGACATACATATTTTTTTTATATCTTTTAACACCAAACTGTAGGTCTCGTGCTTGCCTTTTCAATCGAGTCGAAGTTACATGGGATCGTCTGTGAAATTCTTGCGCGCGCTGGGAGATACACCCAATCTGACTCACATCCAGCTCCTGATAGGTCCTGCTGACTGGACCCGCATCCAGTGCAGGGTCCGAATGTGAAGGGAACCGAATCTGCAACATATCCGCCTGCTAAAGTAAAAATCGTTACAGCTTTTTGAACACATTTCAAATTTTAAAGTTTACGTGCGCTTATAATAAAACAAGTTTTTTCAAGGGGTGCGCTTATAATCGAGGAGGGGATATAAGCGCCATATGCCAATTAGAAGCGCCAGGCGCTTATCCTAGGGTGGCGCTTATATCCGGGGGGAGACGGTATATGGAAGACCTGGCTCTACGAGCAGGCCCACAACCAGTGGACGGGGTTGACCCTGGTCGTAATGTGGTGCGCCGTGCTCGAAGCACTCATTCTCAGAAGCACCCTAGGGCAACGGGGACGTTGCCACCTGGGGGGGGAGGAGTGTAACGTATTACCTTAACTACCGAGCTAACAACCATCGATCTCTCTCTAAGTCTATTGTTGAGAACTTCTCTCGACAAAGGAAGAGTTGGAGAAGATGGTTGAGTTGGTTGGGATGAAACTTGGTTTGGGTTTGCCAAGCCTCAACTTTGGAGGTTTGGAACATTTCCAACTCAACCAAGAGAATGTTGAAGGTTGGAATCCCAACCAATCAGAAACTGCCAAACAAGTGTTACAATCTACTATATCCTAAACACAACCATTGAATGGTTCTAAGTTGGGTTTTCCAACCCAACACAATTGCCACATAGGCTCCAAGCCTAGGAACCATCCCACCATGGAAACCATGGTTGGGATAGTTCCCCAAGGGGTGTATTGAGGGGGTCTGAGTTAAGCAAGCTAATTTCTCAACCTCCCACTCCAACTAAACAATTGGAAATGGGATTGTTTTGCCGAAGTCCTTGAGAGCTCTCTCACAAGCCTTCCTACACAATTCTCTCAAGCCTTTTCAACAACTCCTTCAAGAAGATTGACACCTCCAAGGCTATTGGGAGCTAGTTAGAGCTTCAACTTGTATTGAGATTTAATATAAAAGCATTATAACTCCATTATAATAGCCTTGGGTGTTACACGGCGGGTAGTTACGGTAATTGTGTCAGAAAAGAGGGAAGGTAAGTGGAGAGGGAAAAATGGGAGAGGGTGGGGGGAGTGCAGGACGATGGCTCACGTGATTCGTTCCACCCGTTGCCGTGGCGGCTGCTCTAGTCCGTGCGAGACAGAAGAGCGACGCGAGGGCGACCACGAGCGCGAGACATATACGCGGGCGGCCCTGGGCGACGCCATGCGTCTGACGCAGACGTCGGCGATTCTGATCATTCTGCCTTGAAGGAGAATTGGCAGTAGGAACAGCTAAAGCACGTATCGACTTGTCGTCGTCGTCGTCTTCATCGTCGCTCGCGAATCTGTCGCAGCGACCAGATCGGCAGCGCGCGGCGGAGAATGGTTGGCGGAACCGTCGCCGGAATCGTCGTCGTCGTCGTCGGTGCCGTAGGCGGCGCCCTAGAAACCTGCCGTCGGGGTCTGCGAATCGCCCTCGCCGAAGAGGATGACGAGCGGCAACGGATTCCGTCGCGCAGACGATGTCACCGCCGCGTCGTCGGAGGGCCGCGGTTGCGGCACGTCTACCTTGACAGCACCGCAGCCGCCGGTGCCGCCGCAACGCCCAGTGGCACTGCCATCGCAGTACTTCTTTTAACAGCCGCTCAGTCATTGCCACGTCGGCATTCACAGGACTACCACTTGGAGTACTACTAGTTCTGGCAGTGGTCATATCATATCGGCAGCGCCAGTGTTACTATAGTGAACGTTGCTAGTAACAGGATCCGGGTATTACATTATAAGTTCTCCCGGGCATGGTTCCAGCAGCAGTCTTGTTCTGCCAATACAGTATTATATTCGACGACTGGTATGGCAGCCTTATAACGGGGAAATAGAGAATGGAATATTGCTAGCCTGTCTGATAATGGATGTGAATTATCATATTGTCAAAAACGGCCGACACGCTACAGCGTCATATTTCTGCATTCGCGCATCGTGGAATTCGATAGTAGTGGACAGAACTATCATGATTCTGTGCTTTCTGCTGAAGCAACCATCATGCACCCGTTGCTGCAACCGTGTGCTAACTAATAACACCACTGCCATGGTGGGACCCTTGAGGCATTGCGGCTCGTAAATACCCCTGGGGATGACGGCTTTCCCATGGTTGTGGCGGCACAAGCGGTGTACATTTTGACTGTGTCGACCCAGTGTCTGGTTTGGCGTGCTGTGCTGTGGGTAGGAGAGCACGAGAAAGCGCATACAGCCTGACATCCTTGCTGGCTGGTTGCAAGGAACGGGATGGTACTGTATGGGAGCAGCGCCTGTCAGCCCAAAACCGCAGCCAGTGACTAGGGAACCACTCATGCCCTCTCTGATGTGCCCTTGCCTCTGACCGACACAACGTCCCGACGAAAGAAGACAAACGTGTACTGTATTTGGCTTATTTGCGCATCGCAGGTGTGAAGGTGATTCGCGAAGCGGAAGCCATTTCCCTCGGTTCTTATTCATCAACTTCGATTGATGGTACATGGATGCATCAAATTCAAGAAAGAGTAACTGCTGCATGGTTTGGTTTGGAAATTCAGAACACAAAATGCGCTACATTTAGAGAATGCCAGATCCCTTCTGAAACAACACAAGTTGAAGCATTACTTCATTTATTGAAACATGGATGTTCCATGTATTATGCAAAATAAATAGGATCATAGTAGGTAAGCCATTAGGCCGTACACTAGCTAATAGAGTCAGCATCTGCGAAGGTCACCACCAGCTTCATGGCATCGCCTCCTCCGTCTCTGCCCGGTACTTCCACTCGAAGCACGCCCTGCCGACTCCTCCTCAATAGCGGCAAAATGAAAAAGACCACTCGGAGGAGCCATAGGGCCACGGGTAATAGCAACCTGCGAGTCAGTGGTGGATGTCAGCTGTGTGGTGCGGCCTGACAGGAACGACGCCTCCTCTGCCGCAAGCAGTGGAGGCGGTGGCGACTTGGCAGAAGCAGCAACTTCTACCCGTTGAGTGCGTGCCAGCCATGGGTGAGAGAGCAGGTGAGGAGCCGAGGGGCGGCTGGCGGGGTCCACTGAGAGCAAGCAGCGCACAAGGTGCTTCGCCTCGGGTGATATCTTCGACCAAGGTTCAGCTTTCATGTCAGGCTCGTTGGCGCAGATGGCAAGGAAGACCTGGGGGAGGTCCGACCCATAGAATGGCACGTATCCCGCCAGCAACACATAGAGGAGCACGCCCAGACTCCACAGGTCTGCGCTGCTGTCGTATGCACGCCCGCACACGACTTCTGGGGCCATGTAGAAAGACGAGCCTGCCAGGCCCACTGCTTTCTGCCCAGGAGAGAGCATTATTGCCTGACCAAAATCCGCCAGCTTCACGTGTATCGAAGGCGGACCGCTGCCACAGCTGCTTGACCCGTTATAGGTACCATTCGCGGTGTTGCAAACGAGGATGTTCTCCGGCTTCACGTCCAGGTGCAGCACGCCGTGCGAGTGGCAAAACGCGACCGCTTCCACCACCTGGCGGAACACGTCCGCCGCGAACGCCTCGGGCAGTCGACCAGCCTTGGCGACAAGGTCAAACAAGTCGCCTCCGTCGCACAGGTCCATGACGAGATGCACGTCGCGCGCGTCCTCGTGCACGCTCGCGAGCTGCACGACGTGCGGATGCGGTGGCAGCGCGCCCATGCAAAGGAGCTCCATTTCCAGGTCGCCCGCGCGCTCGCCCTCGCGTAGCCGCGCCTTGTCGACGGACTTGCACGCTAGAAGCTGCCCCGTCGCGCGCTGCATGCACGTCCGGACGACGCCGAACTCCCCCCGGCCGAGCTCCTCCTGCGCGACCGCGTATACGGACTCCAGCGGCGCTGTCGAGAACGGCAGCATGCGGGCGGCATTGCGGCTGGCGGCGGTGGCGTCGGCGGAAGCATGGCCAGTGGTCGCGGTGGTAGTGCTTGCAGGAGCGGCTGCTGCTGATCTTGCTGATAGAAGCAGTTGACGGTGGTGAGAGCAATCCTCCATCTCCATCGGTTCTGATGCTGCAGATGCATCACCGCCGGAAGCTAATGTGACGTGATTGTCGTAGGGCAAGAATCGCGCCGAGTCGACCATCGTTCCTCCGAAGTCTGCGGCCATAGTATTATCTAAAATGGTCTGCTGTACTGTAATGATAGCGGTGCGGGCCTCAATGCCTTCAAAAGAAGAATCACACAATCTTTGTGGCGCAATCGCGTTTCTGAGGTCCTGAGGTTTGAAGCTTTCAAAAATGGATGGCTATGACATAATCCGTGGATGAGATTCTTGAACTACGTACTCCAATGGAATCGACTTGTACGTCCACCATTATTGGACGCTTTCTTCTCAGAAAAAGGACCAATACAGAATGCGTACTTGCTGACCGACTTTGCAACAGTTCTAACACTGTACGTTCCTCTAACAGTAGTACTGTTCTGGAACGCCTTTGGCGTTTCGGCGGCTCATATCGATATTCGATTTCGTGCTGCAAGGACTCCTGACCGGTGGTGGTTGGACCATCATCACCATCATTCGTCGGTGCTTACAGAACTCGAGGGTAGATTATAAGCAGGTGCTGGCTGGGCTGCCGCAGGCTGCCGATGAGCTGCAGGCGTGCGAACGGCCTACGAGACACCACAGGTCAGTTCGCAGGACATGTGCCGGGTTCTGCTGGTCCCCCTCGTGCTGTACGAGGTAGACTCTTTCAGAGCCACAGACGGAAAACCAACGCAAACGCCTACCCCAGAGAGAACCCAGCTCGAGCCGCGTGAGAGCTGCTCTGCGTGTACTACAGTGTAGTTAGCTTGACCTGGTTGCGTGCTTCGCAAGAGCTCGGCGGGACGAATCTGTTCTCCAAACACGATGTGCCACGTTTGCTTCTGAGTTCGCATGACGCGGAGGGCAACTAACGCGGCAGCCATAGTGCTCTGGCGCAGTCAGCCCCTCGTGACGAGGAGAGGGAGGGGAGGAACAGAAAGAAACCTCTGTTCCAACCTGGAAGTTGCACTGACGCTGCTGGTGCAAGGGTGTTGTGAAGCAGAGGGACCAGCAGACGAAAAAATGTACTGTACCCGGAAACAGACGCATCGTCAGAAACATTTGTCCGGTCTACCCTACTACACTTACACGTACTGCCTAAAAAGGGCATTTCGCCGCTGTTTATTATGAAACTTTTCAGCTCTGCATCTGGCTCGTACGTTAAAAAAAATCAGGGTTGAAATATCCAAATTAGGTGAAATCCATACTGGTGGTCCTTTCCACATGGGTACAGTACCGATGTCACCCCACACATCCTGTCCAAATTTATGCCAAACTGCTAATATGCAGTAATTGACTCACGTCGGTTAGACAGAAGGTTAATGTTAGAGGCCAGTACCGTTACGAGTACACGAGGGGGTACAAGTACGATGACTGGAAGAGCTACCATGAGAAACAAACATGCACTACGTGTCTGGCTAGAAACCCATTCTCCCAATAAATTCGAGGCTGGATTAAAAGAGAATTTCTAGTCTGTAACATTGTATTCGGATGGCACTGAAACGTTACGGGCACATTGGTGCGAATTTCGATGGCAAGATACTTTCATTGGCTGATGAACGCAAGGGGGTGCTTCACAAAATACACTTGTTTGCCGTTACTTTAACGCAATAAAACGAATCTAAGCGACAGACGCTGGATGTGGCAACCCTTTCAATATCTTATGACGGTACGGCTGCAGCCTCTGTTGTATGTGATCAACACCTTCAACTGCATATGTGACCCATCTGCAACATTTTCTCCTTAGGTCATGTCTAGTAAGCCTTCCCAATAATGCAATTCGCCTCTACCGAGGGGCAAAGGAATTCTTAGAGTAGTGCCTCTGTGAATACCAGATCATCAAGCCAACAGGGAAGTGTAAAAAAACAACTATAAATCTCGTAAATTTGTTGGTACATATATTTTTTTATGATTTGGTTTAGTTATATATGTATAATATATAATATTCGCCCCAAGTTATTCTAGTTAGAGTTAAAATATAAATTTAGGGAGGTAGTCGCAAACTTTTATTATAAATATATATATAATGTACAATAAGAAAATGGTTTTCCATATCTTGGATTTATGACTTTCGGTGCACCTACAAGCATCAAAGCAACTAAATGATCCTAGGGACTCAGGTAGCATGAAAGGGTAGGTAAGATCCAACTGTTATACAGATAAATGAAATTCAGGCTTTGCCAAGTCTTAACGATATTACGGTCGGATGGCCGGATGGATCAAATGGGGAGATGATTCAAGATCGCCTATGATATTCCAAATGGTTATAGATTGTTTGCAAAATGTGATCCTGTATCTTTCTAAAACAGATACAACTGCTGATGGCTTGCAGTTACAGACTATGTAGTTTACATGTCACTGTAATCTATGTGTTGCCTCTGTTGAATTCCAAATTGGAGGTGTCTCAAATCGAGCCTTTGGAACATGAAAAATATGGGCAGAACGTGTATATTGAGTCTAACCGCTGAAGGAGGGGCTGTGCATTTGCGCAAGCAAACCACCATGTGCACTCCAGCAGAAGGGGGAAAAGGGGATGGGAGAGGGGAAGGGGAGGGAGAGATTTGGAGGAGGTTGGGAAAGAGGTAGGGGAGGGCGCGTGTACGGTATTGGAGGTCAGGTGGTTGGTTTCGGAGGATGCACTTCATCGTGCAACAGCAGCGATCTCCTCGCCTCAGGCCCTCCGCAACGACTTGAGTTTGCGCGCAGTCGGGTCGGGTCAAGGCACTCCTTGTCGACGTGGATTTCTTCTGCCCACCGACACTCACGGAAGCACAACGCTGATTTGGCGAGAAAATATCATGAACACTGTACAAACTGGAGTGTCTGATGTGAATCTAATCTGTGCTGGTCCAGCGCTTTGCGTACGCATGCGTCCACAGTACGAGCTAATTTGACTGTGGTACGGCAACCTCACCTGATTCTGATCTGTCACAAGACGATGCCAGCTTGGCAGAGAACAAATATGGCTGTCTCGCATCGCACTTAGCGCAGCGCAGATAACTATCGCACCGCAGGGGAACTATCAGAGAGAAAGTTTGGGGGGGAGGACGCGGGGGAATGGATGCTGTCAGCCTGTGACTGCTGTTCGTACACACGTAACAGAACTCGTGCAAGAAGCCACCAGAGACACGCTTGAGGGTTGTTTCGAACAGTCTGGTTTTAAGGAATGAACGATTCAGACTCCGCTTAAGAGTCAGCTGGAAACTAAAAGCATGGTCTTTGCGTTGCGGGCACAAAGTCACACTTTCACAACATCGACACTTTACAATGCCACGGGATAGCCTCTAGATCCTTGGGTGTCTGGTCCCCAAAGCCAAAAAAGGTCCAAATGGGCTCAAAACTGACGGGGTGTGAAATTGGCGCGGGCTAGGTGTACACCAGACGAGTTGCGTGTTTACTGCTGATGCAATTTAGGAACGGGATCAACCCTAAGGACGTGTGAGATTTTTTATGGAGTTCGTAATCAGGGTCGAACTTTTGGTGGTTACCCTTTTCGCCAATGTTCGCTAACCGCCTCGCCGAAGTCGAAACAAATTCCCCGTTTGGGAAGTGCGAACCCTCATTTGTGAACTTGATACAGAAAAATTCGTGAACTTGCGCAAACACAAAGATCCAAACGTGTGTGGTGTCAGGCACGTACGAGGTTTCAGCGAACCTCGCGACTCATTCGTGCGCCAATGAGATCACAACCAAGACACAGCGCATTGATGAACTCGCTATGGCCACCATGTGGCACAATTCGTGCCACGATGGCAGTAAGCATTGGAAGTACGAGGCATCGCAGGTAGCCTTGAAGCACAATCCCCAGGAAACGCACGAGCTGAATGAGAGTCATTGTGAGATGCTGACTTGGAAATTGGTTCATCTCGCCGATATTTGTATCGTGCACAACTGCCACAGATGTGAAGTTGAGCTGGAGGTCTAGGGCTCACTTTTTTTAGCAGCGCTCCGGTGACGTGTCGCGCTGTGGTGTGCTTGAAACCGGGTAACCTACAGTCTCCAATTGCGGCTCGGTTCCCCCTCTGTAAATTCGAACTTGCAAATTCGCACCTTGGTGTGTGATTGTGAGTATACAAGAATTTGCACTCGCGGTGCGAACCTTGCCACATCTCAAAATCGATTCAAGTTCAGGTTATAAAACCCTGCTTAAATCGAGTAAAAAACGTGAACTTTCATAAACCCTTGTTTCACACACGTCCTAAACACCAGACGAGTTGTATGATAGTAAACATTGTTTCCGTGTGCAAACTTCTCTACCATCACACACACAAAAAATTGCTGCTTTCACATTCCAGACCTCGCTAATCACATTCCAAACCTTGCTGCCATTACATTCCAAACCTTGCAGCCATCACGCACCCCACTTCACACCCCCTCATTCACATCCGTGCATCCGCCATGTATGGGGTCTCCACCCTAAGGGCCCCACCTGTTGATGTAACTGCAAGGAAAATTCCTTTTCCTTACTTCGCGTCCCCACTCAGCGCGTACACCACTGTAGCACCACAATCAGCACCGTTACCACTCGCAACTCTCGCATCGACAATCCTCCCGCCACCTTCGCACGTCGCACCCCGACCTTCACGGCTCGGCGGGTAACCCGCGCTCCGGGCCTCCGCTTCGACACTTTTCCCAACCTCAGTCCCAGGCCCGTCACGCGACAACCACGGCCTATTACCGTTACCACTGCAGTTTCGCTTTATATTCTTCGCTCATGCCTTCGCTCATTGTATTCTTGCTTCAATAGTGCAATTCTCGCTCGCTCACTCAATTGCACTCGTAACACTTGGTATTCAGAGCCTACGATCTCTTCTCGGACCGCACCCACATCTTCTCTTCCCCACTATCTCAATAGTTTTTGGGGGGGGGGGGGGGGGTAGACGTCTCTCAGCGACACAGCACCGCCGCTCGTAGTGCTCTCTCGTAAGCACGCACGGCCACGACCGAGGATCTCGCTGAGCTTGCCCGACACCCCCGCCATGGCCGAATTCACACTCGCCACATTGACGCAGGAGCAGCTCGACCGTCTGGTGCGCCAACTTGAAGATTCGGCGCTCGAA